CTATATATTTTCAGATATCAATTCAATCCATTATTTAAATTGGAACCATTTATATTCTTCATTCACAGTATGGTCTATTCATGCATTATCTCTATACTCATAGACCCAGGGTACACCTATTTGTACCCCCGAATGCTAATTTATAAGTCTTCAACATATTGCTCACAAAAATGGTGGAAGAAATACTCATGTCACCTGATCTACATATACATTTTCTCACAGTGATATTCTGGACACAAAATGCAAAGGTCACATTTATGATTGTAGCAAAGCCTAATCAGAAAGTGAGCATGGATTACTAAACACATCCTTCTCCAGGTTGCCTAATGCTCTCAAATGTCAATCCTATTGGTGACTGCATATTTGTATCTGACTAAGATTATATATTCAACCTCAACCCTCTTGAAAATGTCTAATCTTATCACTCACTTTATACTTTTCCTGATTTCCTAATGTCTATATTCATATCTGCTTTCCTACATATTTTCCCCAGTTCATCATTGTGACTGACTCTTCACATGTGCTGACATTTACATTCACTCTATTCTAACAGACTCCCTATTGCTAAAGAACTTTTGGTCCAAATTTCATACTCACTATTCTTCCTAATTCTACTGCCTATCTTCCTAATCGTACCTAGTATCCCTTTTTGACTGGATGTTCTCTTTTACATTGAATCATCCAAGGTACAAGGTCCTGTGCCATTGTATATGGATTTATCAGAGACATCTGTACAGAATTTAATTCAAAGCTAAGTATCCCAATCAAGGGCCCAATGCCCTTCTGGCCTTCAAATCTTACTTAGATTTTTGTTTTCATACATATATTTAACCTCTATATTATTATAAATATCACAGATTCCCAATACCATTCTTCATCCAGCAGAATGATTCCTAACCCAAATCGAACATGTTCTTAACCACAAGCATACACTATTCCCTCAATCTAACCTCACACAAGAGCAGGGACAGAGTTGGTCTTACAATACAGGAATGTAGGGGATCTTCCACCTGCTGAGAACCTCAAAGGTCCATGCAGAAATGACTCCTGGAGAAGATGTTGGCAGCTTGGAAGGACCTGAGAGAGCAAAAGTCATCTTCCGTGGCAAACAACCTGGTCAGGATGAAGGGACGTGTCTGAATGAGCCTCCCTCTTCTTAATATAGACAAGATGGACCAAACCAGGCCTGTGTGGAGAGCTTTTCCTGGGTGCCTATGATTGATATACCATTCTAACTTGTGAAAGTGTCACAGGAAGCAGGGACAGCCTCCATCTCATGCGACCCTTTGAAGCATCAATTAGGACAATGTTGTTTCCAAGGCAGTGACCTCATTCAGTTCCTGAAGGAAGTGACCTCACCACACTTCCTTTGTGATGGAACTTTCTGAACTTGGGAATCAGGATGCCAGGCACACAGAGGCAGTTCCAGTGCCAGTCCCAGTGGGCTCAATTATTTAGATTTACCAAGGACAGAGTCAGTCTTTCTTGGTACCTACAGATGTGAGGATTGCAAACTGCAATGAAAGCTCTGAAAGGGGTATTTCTTGAGAAAGCAGGTGTGGCTCACCCCTGGCTCCTGACAACTTCACAGAATTGGCCAAGGAGGCAAGATCTGAACAGGACAGGCTATTTTGGGGGAACATAGTATGGCCAACCAGTCAGAGGACACTGC